TTACAAACATGCACATTTTTTTTTATAAAAAATTAAATATTTCTTTGGCTTTGGTAAAAATAAAGATTGAGATTCAAGTGGTAATCATAAGGTTAGACTGCACATGAATAGATATATTTATACACACAACCTTTTTAAGTGTAAAGAGGAAATGCTAGGAAATGGATTTAGCATCCTTGAGAACTAGATAATTTTTTATGAAGAATAAGAAAAGATGTATTGCATGTTCTTCTCATCCTAGCCAGTAGCTGAAATGAAGAGATGTCACCTCTGCCTTCTGAGTATTACTGATGAGATTGTGGTATTTATATTGAACGTGGAAAGATAAAGTATCATCTGTCATTAGTCTTTAGGACTCATTTTGTGGGCAGATACATTAGTGGGAGAGTGTAGGCTTTGCTAGAAGTACTTTAATAAATATATGATGGATTTCTGGTTTGAAAGTTGATCTGCTAAGTTACAGAAACAAAAACAAGTCTTGTTTTCAGGGAGGTGGATATTTTCTTGTTATGTAATGTTAAATGCTTTTAAAGTTATGCCAATGCAAGTATTTGAAATGTCATGATTGAAATATCATAGGCTGTTATCTTGAGAAACACCACAGGAAAAAGTATTTGGGGAGAAAACTACTTAGCGATATTGTCAGAGAATAAGGAACAAATGCAAAAGGCAGCAGCAATATTGTAATTACCAAAATTTTGAGGGTACACAACTGAGTTGCAACACCATTCACCTCCACCTTTTTGATATTCAAATATAGTTTTGTTTTATTACTTTAGTTCCAGAACCACACCTAGAGCAAAGCACAAGAAGCAGCAGGTTAGGCTGTAGCATCAGATCTGATACCTCTAATTCATGGTCCTTTCTGCTTTAGAGGCAGAGAAAGGTTGATTTATGCTAGTGTTTCAGTCCTCCTCCTCTGTCAGTTACCAGAACTCATTGAGTTGTCATAATAGCTATATGAAGTCTGAACTGACATTCTATGAAATAGCCTAATGGAAATTAAAAAAAAATTCTATTGAAATATCATCACAGTGACATGTAATTTTAAATATGTCATTAAGGCTTTTACAAACCAAACTTTTTTTTTTTTTTTCTCTCAAATAAAATGTCACTCGTAACTTTTAAATTTCTTTCCTTTCGTCTTGGTCCTTAAAACCTGAAAAAAATTACTCCAGAAATAAAAAATACAAATAAAAACCAGAGGCAGCTTCTTCCTGCTGGAGGAGTTTAGAATGTTCATGGATCTTTAGAAGCTTTGCCTACAATGCTGCTCTGTAAACAGGGAAGCTCATGGAAAATGTAGTGCATGAAGAAAATTAGTCTCAGTTTAGCTCTTTTAGGCTTTATAATGTTTTTCTTTTAAAAGTAGACCCTCAATCCAAGGCATCAGCAGGTGAAAATGCAAATCAAACGTTTTCTGTCAGGTCTGGTGAGTCTAAAACTGCTATATGCAAACCCAAGCTCTGAGAAATATTTATTTTGTGCCTTTAAAAATATATATTCTTGTGGTTTGCTGTAATCTTTTCTTTTGTAAAGTGATCTTACAGATAAATTCAAGGAAAACTGAATGCAGGTTTTGAGATTCGGTGTGATAATAATACCCTCTCCACATTAAGTTGTGATCCCTTCTGAGTTTCATGGTTTTTACAGTGTATACGGTCCATAGTTCATTTATTTCATGAAATTTAAGAGCATATCTCTTTTGTTATAAATGAATAAACAGATTCTTAATGAATGTGGTAGGATAAATACATTTCTGAAAGTAACATTTCAAGTATTTTGGTTGCTCCTTCTTACATGTATTTAGTAATATTTTCATGTCACTGCTTAGTAGCAGTCTTTTCCATGATGTCTCTTTGTCTGCAATGATTTAAATTATATTCATCTTAATTACAGATAAAAAAACTTGTGGTCCCCATGAATTCCAGTGCAAAAACAACAACTGTATTCCAGATCACTGGAGATGTGACAGCCAAAATGATTGTGGTGATAATTCTGATGAAGAAAACTGTAGTAAGTAACTTTTACCTAAGTACATGTTATTATGAGTGGACTCAGTTTAGCAACATGTAAGAGGAAACCTTTTAATTCTGATAAACTGCACCTCTGTGTTTTTATACAATGCTACCTGATCCCTTGAAAATCAGCTGAGCAGAACTGAAAAAGTCTTTTGCTGAAATTCTCTGATTTCATACATGAATACAAAGAGCTGTAATCAGCTCTGCAAAAATGCCTGACCTATGACTTCTTAATGAGTTAAAAATAAATATTACAATTAGTTTACCTTTGTCAATAAGTTAAGTACTGCATTTCTTATCTCTAGATAAGAATCATAAAAACTACTCAGTGATGATGTGACAAACATTTCTGAAATGCCTTCTCTCAGTTGACAATTTCTGTTCTTGTTTTCTTTTGTACGTAGCAGTCCAAGAAATCAATATATTTTTGTGTAGATAATCTCAAATGCATATTCCTGATTGAATATCATGCCTCTATATTTAGTATCTTCAACCTAGAAAGCTTAATAAATTAAGTATTCTCATGCTGAGTATGTGCTGTCTGCCCCTTTCTCCAGTTTAATGCACAGTGTTCATAGGTACAGGGTGTATCATTCTGCTTGAAAAGTTAGTGGATTTGTCTGCATTTTAATCGCTATCAACATCAGAGAATCTTGTGTGTTCATATGCAAGTGGTTCATCTAAACAGGAAAATGACACGTGGCTCAGTGCCCCTCAGAGCCAGTTATTGTTGTATTTCACAGAGGGGTTTGACATGCAAAAGATTTCTTAACTTTGTGGGAGATTTTACTTAGGAAGTGATTACTGGTGCTAGTGGGGTTTCCATTTTCCCTTGTATTATAATACCAAGAAATTATTTTATGTTCTGTTATTCTCATATAAAAATCAAAGAGAGCTATCTAGCAGTTTTGCTATAGCAGTGCTAATCTACATGGTGGTTTTTGAAATCTTTTGAAAAACTCGAAAATAAGAAAAGTCCAACTTCCACAAAGCAGTATTGCCCTTTGCAAAATGAGTGAGAAGCATCTTATTTGAAATATGCCATGTTGTTGAAGTGGGATTTATTTATCCCCTGGTATGAATAAGTTTCTTCCTTAAAGTTGAGGTTATTGTACTACAAGAAAAATGGTTGAATAATGAGGGACAAACTATTTTCTTTATTTTTTTGTAAATTATTATTAGGCTTGCCTTCTTTTTGTTCCCATCAGTAATTAAGGTAGATATTCAGTTCCTGACTGTTCTTGACTGGCAGATAAAGAAGTCTGTATTTAGTTGTAATGGATGGAGTTAGTGAGTACCCAGACATAGTGCACCAAAGTGGTGATCTGTAGTTGGTGTTAGCTTTTTTCCCATTTTCTTTTGCTTGTCAAATGCATACTTCATTTCCAACTGCTGAGTCCCTTATTCTGCTGTTTCAATTAAATACAGTAGGCTGACACAGTTGTAAAAATCAAAATCTTGGAAACACTGGGCAAATATATAATACTGTTCAGTTGCTTGAAGTAGATGTATAAAATTCTTTATAGGCTGTCAAACCACTTATAGAATGAAGTGTAATGAAACAACTGTATATGAAGTTAGAACTTCAAAAGCTTTTGACAAAATGTATTACAGTGCTCATTAAGGTATGTTTTTCATAGCATACATAAATATACAAAGGGTTTGTCAGGCAACCCTTGCAGACAATGAGTTGTTTCTCAAGAATGCAGAATGAATTCATTGAATTACAGAAATTCAGTTCAGGTATTTAGATTTCTCTATATAGTTTCTTTGCATGCACACACAACGTCCTGGTGAAGTTCTTGGAAGTCAAACAGAATGCCTGTTAAAAAAATATCACATATGAGTGAGAGAAATTATTAGTGATTTGATTAAAATGGTTGTGCCCATTATGACTTCATTATTTAACTATTTGTCTTACAGTCTGTTGTTTTTTAAGGGTATTTGGACCCTTCCAAATACGTAAGAGTTTTTAAGAAGTTTGTAGGTCCACATAAAACAAAATACAATGAATTTTTAACTCGCTGAGTTAATATCTTTTTTTGGAGGGGGAATTTGCTTTCAGAGTTTATTTGGGTTTTTAAAAATCAGAATAAAAAGAGTATTTTTCAGGAAACTTGAAAAAAGGAGAATTTCATAGTAATGAGTATTTTATACCTGCTGAAAAGAAAGCACCAGGAATATTTTATTGAATGTAATTGAAGAAAACATAATACAGTATAAATGTTGCAGCATTCTGTGGCCTAATGCCTGTTACTCTTTTTAGCAGTATTGAAGTGGAGAATAACAAGAAGAATGGTTTTGTTTTTTCCTCCTTGTCCATTTTGACATGTGTACTGGTTTTGGCTGGTCTAGGTTTGATTTTCTTGATAGTAGCTACTGTGGTGCTTTGTGCTGGATTTGTGACCAAAACAGCCTTGGTGACATGCTGATGTTTTAGCTGTTGCTGAGCTGTGCTTTCACAGATCTGAGACTCATTTTGGTTGAGGTGTTCCTATCCCTTGATTGGTTTTGCTTTTAGTTGTTTATCTACATACAAATTCCACCTTTCCTGTTATACAAATCAGTTTCTTTAAAAGTTTGCTTTGAAATAGCTGCTACAAGACAAAGGATTCTCACAAGGAGCAAACATTAATCCTGTACAAATACAAGTGAAAAGTACACTGGAAGTTTGAACTTCACAACCTATTCTCATAAAACTCGTGGCCTCTTGCCCTCGGACTTGTGTATCAATACATCAGTCTCCTAAAAAATGTCTTCAATTCATGACCTAGTGCAATATCTCTGCCTATTACATGCAAAATCAAACCTCAGATATTAAATAATTGTAAAAGTTTCCCATTAGCTCCTTTTCTTGGTACTATTTAAGTTGATGAGAAATGTCTGTTGGCACTATGGGTTATTTTCAGACTTCAAAGTCTGAAAGAAGTAGATCATCTAATGTTCAGTGTTTCAAATAAAATTCTAATAATTGAAAAAGCTTTTCTCAAGAAGGAGTTTCAGTGTTCTTATAAAGCAGTAGCTGAAAAATGCTGTCCTTCAGTGGTTTTACAGAAGTCTATTTAGTACTTATTCCTTTCACTGACAGTCTGAGCACTGATGGGAAAGTGCTCTCCTGTGTTCATATGTAAATCACAGAGATGCATTCCAGCAGCAGAAGAAATCTTTCTTGCAAACAGAGAATTGAGAAGTTAGCTCATTGTGTACATTTATCTAGAATCAAGTCTCTGTTTATAAATAATTCATTAGCAGTATAGAAAATGTATTTGCTTATATTTTGCAAATTAATATAGAAACATGGCAAATGTCTATTTGCATGTGAATTTCCCCACAAATTATTTCCTCTATGTAATTTGTTGAATCTTGAACTTCCTCTTCCTGGCCTGTTGACTACAAAAATAACCAAATGTCCATGATTTACTAACATTTGTACAATGAGCTTTTTCTTTGAAACAAATTAGAAGCAGTATGTGTAAAATCGAAGAATTCATATAAACACTAACCTTTTATTTGCTGTACCTGGGATTAATTTTGTGTCTACTCTTAACCCTCTATTGTGTCTACCTTTTATAATGAGTTCAGACATCCCTGTGTTTGTTTCTTCCCAACGAGTAGGACAACATAACCAATTGTCATAAACATCCCACTTAACTTCCAGTCTTTACTGTCTCCTACTGATCTGTAAGATCCTTAAGTTCCTTATGTCTAACATCTTCTTTCCATTTCTCCTAAAATTATTTAAAAATTTCATCCTTATCCTTTATTTCTTTTTTGTGTTTTCTGTTATATAGATAGTTGGGCTTTTTTATGAAAATACACTGAGTTATACATCTCACTATATTCTTGTTCTGTCAGAACTCTAGCATTTTAAGTAATAAGTCAATGGGTTATTGTCATGTTTCCTCTCATACTTATCTTCTGGAAAAGTGAATTATTTTACTTGTCATACTAAACCTGACCCCTTAGGCATTCCATTTACCATCTTAACCCCTGGATGCCTAGCACAAGGGAAGCTGAATCTTGTCATAGATGTAGGTTAAAAGGCAAGGGATAAATGGTTTGCTATTGCATGGTTGAAAATCAAAGGTCTGATTAGTTCCAATTAATTTGGATATTAACGAGTGCAAAATGAATTTCTAGTCTGTAGCACGTATCTCATAAAACCTGAAATAACATAAAAGCATTAAAATAAAGAATATTTATATCATCGGCATCACATAATTTTCCAAAGAAATTTGATAGAATTAAATGAAAATATTTTCACTACTAAGTTACTATATGTAAATGAAATGTAGCCATAAACTGTTATGAAACAAATTCCTGTGGAAAAAAATGCTTGTAGTTTGCAAATTAGTGCTTTTGACTTTTATTCCTTGATTGGGAGGTTTTATGGATGGAATATTTTATGAAAATGCTAATCAACCTAGGGTTGTTACTTTTCTTTATTCAGAGCCTCAAACATGCACTTTGAAAGACTTTCTTTGTGCAAATGGAGACTGCGTTTCAGCAAGATTCTGGTGTGATGGAGACTATGACTGTGCAGATGGCTCAGATGAGGTAGGTGTCTTCCAGGAAAATATTTCTTTAGTACTAGCAGTTTTATGTTGCTGGGGAATCAATTGCCACATACAAATATGTTAAAAAGCACCAATGAGAATTCTAGTTATCCTTAAAAGAGAACATGCAAATAAGTTAATGTTTAACAATAGTTACATATTTTTGGCCCAGCAATTATCTGGACCTCTTCCCATCCTGGTTATATTGGTGTCCTGGTTGGGAAATAAGTTTCTCTATAGACAGTGGTTTGGTGTGGTTTGTGGAGTTTTTTTGGAAAAACAGTGTAGACTTGTGTAGCAAACCTCAATGGATAATGCTTTGCTCTTGTTCTGTTCTTTATTGTCCCTTTTGTCCTTTCTCTTTTCCTGCCAGTGCAGAACCATTCTTAAGAAGGTGCAAGCCATCTTACATGAATCATATCTGCAAATCTATTTTATTTCACAAGGCATTAGTGTATTTTATAGTGTGGAGGAGTATAGGCTATAACTTCCTTGATTCGCTGTATATTTTAAACATTTGTATCCAACTCTTGATCTTGTATATACATCATTTTTATTCTACCAGAGATACTGTGAAACAGGCTGCTCGAGAGATCAGTTCCAGTGTTCAAATGGTCAGTGCATATCAGCAAAATGGAAATGTGATGGACATGAAGACTGCAAACTTGGGGATGATGAGAAAAGTTGTGATCCAGGTATTGTTTTAAATACTGCTGAGAGATAAAACAGAAAGGAGTGAGGAGTAAATCAGAATGAAACAAGGAGAAAATAAATCAACAAGTCAAGATTCCTTGTGCACTAGGAGTCGGGAAGAGCATAAAGAAATCCGAAATACTTCATCTTTTGAATGTGTATCACTGTGTCCTCCATGTTTTGAAAACCCCACTTATGTGAGAATAGTATTTCATTTAATTATATTGAAATATTATTTGATAATGTATACTCAGCTTATGAAATTTAGCTCTGAAAAGAGCAGATGTTACTAATTTATCTCTGGGGACATGTTGCTTTGTTTTTTTAAACCAGTTTTTTAATAGTCCTTTCACAAAGGTTTTTTCTAGTGAATATTATTTTTGTTGTCATTGTTTTATTTCCTAATTACTGTCTTGGAAAATTTAGTTGTTTATTTTTCTAGGAATTTTGCTCAATTTTCTATAAGCTTTGGATGGGTACAATTCATAGAAGCCAATGACAAAAGTCCTCTCATTTCTAATGCAACAAAAAGATCCATCTGTATTTTAAATAAAACTGATTAATAAGCATTTAATATAATTTAAATCATGTATAATTACTAAAACCATGGTTTGGGATTAATTTAGCATATTCTACTACAAGCATTTACTTAAATGGGGCTCTGAGCAACCTGGTCTAGTGGTCCTGCCCATGCAGGGGGCTTGGAACTAGATGATCTTTAAGGTCCCTTGCAAACCAAACCATTCTGTGATTCTATGAACTTTAGCTAAACACTAAGCACATTTTAAATAGTCATTCTATGAATAAGTGTATATATGTATTAACCACTGCTGATTGGTACTACATTGGTACTGTTACTACACATTTTACTTAGAATTCAATAATCAAGTTTGTAAATTATTTGGTTGTAGTTGATGACTGTTTGGAAAAGCTCTAATCAGCTACACATATGTGTTTGCTCACTATGTTAACCAGAGGAAAATAAACATTTGAAAGCAAATTATTTATAAACTGTATTTTTCTTAATGCTAAAATGTGTGTTTCTAACCAGCATCTCCAACCTGCTCTTCAAGTGAGTATGTGTGTGCAAGCGGAGGCTGCATTTCTGCATCTTTGAAATGTAATGGAGACTATGACTGTGCTGATGGATCTGATGAGGTAGCTGACAAATTTCCATTGTTGTTTGTTTTTTAACAGTTTTAGAATTGAAAAGAATTAAAAGGGCAAATGGGTTGTTTTTTCACACATCCATTGGACACTGTCAGATAACTTAGCCCTGTAATTTTGGTTCCCTGGAAGTTGCATCCCATTATGTTTGTGTGCTCCATGGGTACCTTTTGGAGTAGACAATTTTTTGTCCTCTAAGTCAAAACCTGAGCATGGTTTTGGGGAAATTCGCTTCAAGGACTTCTCTGTAGTGTCAGTTTGGACAGTTGGATAGCAAGTTTCTATCACATTTTGCTCCCTCTGTCCTCTAGATTCATCTAATACAATCCTAGCAGGCAGGCACTTTGCCCTCTGTGGGCCTTGGTGCCATGC